GCAATTACTTTGGTTTTGGTTTTGGTTTTACTACGGTTTGAAATTAGCTGAGAAGTCTAACTGGTAAGTACATGTAATTGGTTTGGTTTTGGTTTTACAACACTCAATTGAAAACCGCTCTATTAATTAATTTAATCAATATTTTGCCAACTCGAAATGGAGAACTGGGTGCAAGATTAGTATGTTTATAAATAGAGAGGGTTGAGAATTTTGTGACATTTGATGGACAGCCTTGCCACTGGCAACTTCCAGTAAGGTTAACCCTTTGAATGCCAACCCAGGTGTAACATCAGCAACCGGCGCTCATATTGGTTTTTTTTCCACCTCTTGCCCTGCTCACAGGACTGGCTCTAGCAGCACCATGACCACCTCTTGCAGGACCTCGAGGATGACCTCTTCCTCTTCCTTGGCCTTCATTATTAGCTCCCACAGAATCCTCTTCACTTTCACCGTCGCTCGCATCGATCAGGTCATGTTCTTTTACACTTTGGCTCTCTTCCTCATCGTCTGACCATGAACTGTTTCCACTGTACTCCGAAACATCTTCACTTTCTTGACCACTCTCATCGCTAAGATCAGAGTCCCTATCCACAAAAATTTCTGCTAAAGCTTCATCTACATTCATCCTACGTGGCCGTGCCGCCATGTTGGATTTGTCCTTGAAAATCAACAAGGCCACGTAGGTATTATGTAATGCCCACATTCGAATTCTTTGGTCAGCAGACTCTTAACTACTTCCCAGACCCTTTTAAATGACCACGGGAAAATGACACAAACGACCGGGGAAAACAAAACAATGCTCCATGGAGGATGTATATATACGTACTCGGTATCTGAGTCTCGTATTTCAGGACTGGATATACGTCCTTGGCATTCAAAGGGTTAATTTGTGCCCTAGTGTTGTGTAAATAGTGCTATTTAATTTACATTTTGACCATTGATAAATGATTATAACCTTATAACCCCAAGGGTAGCAGCACTGCATTTGGTCAGATCAGGGGAACAAGATTTCAGTTTTTCCTTACTAGTTATTAATAAGCGGTTTTGGAGATTTACATGTCAGGCTTTGGTGCATGTAGGATATTGATGTATAATTTGTTTATCCATTTTGCTGTAATTAATAATTATCTTATTAATATGTCAATTAAAAATTATCTTGGGCTCAGCTGAAAAATGCACCTATGCCTCATAACCGTTGAGTGCATTTTGTTGGATATGCAGGCAAAATACATGTACATATTATAACTTACCACTACTCATAGCTTACTTATTCATTTTTGGTATAATTTAGTAATAGCATAATTGATAATTAATGGCACCCAGACACAGTTTCTGTAGTCCTCAGTCTCAGTCGAGAAAAAAGAACAAATCACTCTTGACTGGCACATTATTGAAATTGAATAATAGAATTATTATTGGAATCCTATGCAAGTACTCATGATCAGCGACAAAATATTATCTTTACCATTTATGCCAGAGTGATTTCGCTTATACTTGTACTTTTAGAGGCAGTGCAAACCCTGGGAAGAGAATCCATAATTATAAAAGTGGAGATTACTAACTGTATCTTTGGGGATCATGTTAGATAACAGAATTTCCAACTTCTTGCGTGTAGACTATTTTCAATTGGGTCTTTTTTTTTTTAAGATTACACATGGTAGAGATTTAGGATTTGAGTATATTGTAATGAGTGCATTGCAATCATACCCCACAACAAAAATGTACAAGCTTCTTTTGTGTGGAGTCCAAATGTTAACTAAGAAAGGATAGAATGATTTAGAACAAGTGTCCTTCTGTTAAATAAGGTATGAAAGAATAAGAAATGCCACCAAAGAGCATAGGAGACAGTTCTATTATATGATCAAGACTTTTGGTAGCTCCCCTGAAATCTGCCCATGAAATAATGGCTCTATTTTCATCATCACACCATTATACAGCTCTGCTGATTGAATCCTATTTCGGGCTGAAACAACAAAATCGTCCGAAATTTATCTCATATGTTACATTATTTTCATTATTCAGACTGAGAACATCCCAAAAAATAACTGAGCTCCACTTTTAGGCTTGGCTAAATCTATATATTATTGCATTGCATTGTATTGCATTGTAATGTATTAGGTTAAATATAATTTGTGTTCGCGGACTATTTGAAACATGTTTTTGACTAACAGCCACACTAACAGTTTGTGGCAGAGAGATTTTTATCTACCAAGATTTAACACTGTTACGTATGGAAAACATTCAATTCAATATCTAAGCCCAAGACTCTGGAGCAATTTATCAATTTAAGAAAGATCGGCCGTCAGTCTCGAGCAGTTTAAGACCCAGATATGCAGGCTTGATTTAAGTAACATCTTAGATGGATGTAGTGGCTGCCATCTTTGCAATTGATAAATTTAATATTTCTTA